TCAGATCATTAACAGGACCAGGACACCGCTTGGAGGGGGGGGCGTGTGACGAGCGTCTCCCGAAGCTTCATCAGCGTCGCCCTGGAAACAAGCGAGAAGCACCTGGCCATCATCATCACAGGTTGATTGGTCACAGCTGCACCTCATCAGGCGGCGGCTACATAAGCCACGCAAGCCCTACCATCTAGGAGATTCCTCCATGAGACTGAGCACTAACTCGCCCTCTCATTTTTCCCACAGAAAGCAGCATGTGACCGACCAGCCCCACAGGAGCACTGCATGGACCCTCTGCACTGGGAAGACGGAAGAGAGCACTTACGACACCGGAGCACCTACCTGGACCTTTCTCACTAGCACCCATCACCCCAATAAATCCACCCTCCGGGGTATTGGTTGAGATTACTTGTCGTGTGATTCTTCACCCCGTTACAGTATGTAGCAAGGTCAGGAGTGAAGAGACTAGTGGAAAAATCAAACAAGATTCAAGGAACATACAAAAGAGTCACAATGTAAACATCAGTGTGTCCTAAAAGAGAATTCAATAATGACAAAAGAGAATTTTTTAGCCTTTATTGTCAAGGTGATTAATGTAACAGCTATGTTGCCAAGTAGATCAGCCAAGATCAAGACAATCCTAGAAGCTGCATCCGAGTTTCTAGGTATCTATGGAATTTCAGCAAACATGATATCCTCACTCGAGCAGCTTCAGTAGAAACTTTGCAGGTATCTGAATAGATATATGGGGATAAGCTTTATGCAATGGAATGCAAGGAGCCTTGTAGCAAATGGACAAGAGTTTAAAAAGTTTGTTTTAGATTTAGAATATAAACCAAATATTATTTGTGTTCAAGAATCGTGGCTCAAGCCAAATCTTCAATTTGTATTACCAGGATATAGTTCTGTCCGGAAAGATAGAGAGGGGTCAACAGGGGGTGGAGTAGTTACTTTTTTAAAAGAACTGTATATAGGGAAATAAAAGAGGTAATGCATATAGAATGTGTGGTGGTGGAATTCTTTTATCAAGAAGAATCAATTGTTTAATTTTTTATATTAAACAAATTTTTATAATTTTTATAACCCATGTAAAAATATTCCTCTAAATTAGCTTGAAAGAATAAAAAATGGAATAAGGAATTATGGTGTGGTGATTTTAATTCACACAATTGTAATTGGACAATTGGTCAAAAACATTGATGGTAGACATTGCGTTAGCAGCACAAAAGGTCATGGGTTCAATTCCCAGAGAACACACATACAGGTAAAAAATGTATAGCTTGAATACACTGTAAGTCGCTTCGTCTGCTAAAGGCATAAATTATTATTATTAATTATTATGTATAGATCTAACTTTAATTTCAAATGGAATGGATGAAAAGTGTGAATGGAAAGTATATAGTGAGAGTAATATTGGAAGCGATCATTTTCCAATTTTTTGTAAATGTAAATAAATAGTAATAGTAGTAATAGGGAGTGCTTATTACAATGGAAATGGAGGTATGAGAAAGTGTAGAAGATTTTTATTAATCCAAATAGGAATTAATCAAGTATAATCAAGGCGAATCTAGCCATTAATATATCTAGTTATACTTCCATTATAATCCTATATGCCTATGTGTAAAAACATGCCTACGTGGCAGAGAGTACAGACCTAAGATGAGAAACATCTGTAAAAACCATAAGTGGGGGGCTTTCTTTAACATAACAAGACTAGAGAGGAGGGGCTTTTGTCTCTAGGGAGAATGATATGCACAAAGGAACCATTATATGTATGGAAAAACTGTATGGAATATTTACCCCACGCCTCCAAATCCAAATGTATAAAAAGGAAGATTCAAAGAAGTTCTGGAGATGTTCTCTGCAGAGATTCTCCACTTTATTCTCATTGTTGAAATAAAGTGTATTTCTTTTGACTTCAAAAGACCCAAGACTGAGTGTAATTTCTAAGAACAGAGGAAAAAGACATGACAAAAGCAGATTGGAATTAATTTAACAAACATTGTGAAGTACAGGTGCATCTCAAATTAGAATGTCGTGGAAAAGTTCATTTATTTGTGCATTGAATTTATTTAATACACGAGTTTCACAATTTGAGTTGAATTACTGAAATAAATGAACTTTTCCACGACATTCTAATTTATTGAGATGCACCTGTACATATTGCCCCTACTGTGGCTAGGTCAGCAATTCCTCCTTGGCTTTTCCCAATGCCTTTGATTGATATCCAGTATCAGTATATTTGTAGCAGTATATATTCCCCTATTCAAAATTAAAATGTCAAAAAGAACTTCAGATCATATTTCTGTATTTACTGCAGAACTAAAAGCAATCTTACTAGCACTTCAGTGTATAGAAGAAATACAACCAATAAAGGCAGTGATATGCAAAGATTCTCTTTCAGCATTAAACAGTTTGTCAAGTGGAAATGAATTAGCAAGACAAGACATGATAAATGAAGTAATGCAGAGTCTTTTTAGAATAAGACAGTATGGACTTCTGGTAAATTTCAATTTCGTGTGGGGACCATCACATATAGGTGTGAAAGGAAATGAGGAGGCTGATCATTTGGCTAAACAGGCATTAAATAATTCACAAATAAACATTGAAGTGGCATTAAGTAAAACAGAAATAAAAGCGATAATAGCAAAAGAAATACAGGAAATATGGCAGAATGAATGGAAAGAAGGAAAAAAAGGTAGACATTTACACCGCATACAAGAAAAAGTTGGTTTAGAGAGCAGAAGATTTGGAAACAGGAAAGAGGACGTTATAATAGCAAGAATGCGTATTGGTCATTGTTTATTAAATCAGTGCTTACATAGAATAGGAAAATATGAAAATGGAAATTGTGACAAATATGGGTTAACAGAAACTGTAGAACATGTACTTATAAAATGTGAGGCTTGTGAAAGAGAACGTTTCCAACTAAGTCAAGCTTTAAGCAGGGTGCGAACTACGGGGGAGCTAGGGGGAGCTCGGCTCCCCTTAATAAGATATGGGCTCCCCTGAAAACGTGATTTGTGAAATTTTGGGGGGTCTCAAAAAATATTGACAATGTGTTATTTTGACGTGCAATTTCAGTTTTGTGTAATGTGATCATCGTGGATTATTATGTGTAAAATTGCAAAAATATCATTCATTCATGCATGACGGCGATTTAAACCTAATTCACTTCAATAAAGATAACTATACATGCTATTCTTGTCATGAGCATCAAGGTGTGGGGGTGCTGGCGGTGCAAATTCCACTCATGTTTAGTACATGTTAAAGGGGTCCTGTTATGCTCTTTTACAAAGTCTTGATTTTGTTTTGGGGGTGTACTAGAACATGCTCTCATGCTTGGTGGTTCGAAAAACGCATTATTTTTCACATAATTTACATTATTAAAATACCTTTCTCGCCATCGTGGCACAAACGGCTAGATTAGTTCCGGCTTTGATGAAGGTCCGCCTTCCGAAAAACAAAATGTGTTGTGATTGGATAGCTGTCCCAGTGTGTTGTGATTGGCGAACAGCTTGTTTCAGTACTGCCACGCCCCCTTGCTCCGTCTTTCAACAAAAGCTTTTGGGAATGCGGTACTTCTCACTCGTGATGTGGAAGCTGTCCTTAGTAAAATGTGCAGCACACAATAGCAAATTGGGGTTATAATGCTCAGGAACAGAGTTAAAAAATAAATTGCAACCAGTTTCCTGACATCATCCGCTTTCGGAAGCCCAAACAAAGACGTTTGGGCACGGAGGTGAAAAAAACATGGCAGCGCAGCGTCGCGCCACGTCTTTAAAATTCAAATACATTATTTTCTATGAGTGTAGGCACACCGGCGGCGCCCAGCTACGTGATGTTGTTGTACCTGATTCAGATCATCGTTAGAAGTGAGCTCCGTGCATGAACTGTGTTCCGATTGACATGGTCCCTACACAGTGTCCATTGCTCCATACTCCCTGAGCAGGGGAACCCCCCAACCATTCGAATTTCTGTAGGCGGGAATTATTTGTAATGAAATTCTAATGAGCCGCTTTGTGATATCACAAAGCCCGGAACCCAAACGCTGTAGTCCAAACGAGCTGTTTGCTGTAGTTCTTGAAAATTGATTTAAAAAAAACGAAATATCTCCCTTTGGAGTGGACTTTGAGATTTGTAACTTTCTAGATCTTTTTTATGCACAAACATACACACGATACACTGACTAAAATTAAAAAAATGAAAAAGCATAATAGCACCCCTTTAACTCAAAGATTCGTAGAAGGTGTGTGTGAGTGTGCCCATGTGCGTGCATTAGGTCTCACCCCTTTATATCTTTGTTCCGCATTTTTGGCTGATTTTATTTAGCCAAATTCTATACAAATGCTCTCTGTGGCAGTCATACCTGCGTTATAGCCCCGTCAGAATTTTGAATAGCCCCGGTTTAGCCCTCATTTGCGCTAAACCACGGCAACAGACGTATCGTCCTTCTGTAGGCTATATGCAATCCATTACATAGTCACTAAGGTTGTGATGTGGTGTTCGTTTTAATGTTTTATTTAAGTTTTAGGTATGCACAGTTCTGATTATGCATATGTATTGTGTTGTTAATGCTGAGCGCACAGGTACTGTTTGCACATATCTCACACAGTAACCTCCACGTCATGTGAGCGCAGTTTCTTGCATTATAGACTACATTTAATCCATTACATAATAATCACTAAGACTGTGTGATGTGGTGTTCGTTTTAATGTTTTATTTAAGTGTAAAGTATGCACAGTTCTGATTATGCATACAAATGTATTGTGTTGTTAATGCTAAACGCATGGGTGCTGTCCAGTTCTGAAGTCTTTCCTTTGTATGTAAAAAGTTTTTGTCGTTGTCTTATGGTCACTTGTATTAAGATTATATCTATTTTGATGAATTTGCCTATTCGTTGGCAAAATATAAATTAAAACTACACTTCTGTTGAATATGGTGTGTACCATAGCTGCTTTTATTTAAAAAAAAACGACAATTTATGGCGGGAATGCACCTTTTAAGTTGGTTTGCCAACAGCCATTCAATCCTAAAAGCAGAAGAAGATCGCTTCACTCGCTGTGTCTCTCTATGCAGAAGAAGAACACGCACACTAATCGTGTCGTATTTCTCTCTGAAAGCTTGCTCTGCCTTTAAAAATCATGGCTGATGAAGAATTGGAAGCCATTAGGCGGCAACGTATGGCAGAACTGCAGGCGAAACGTGGGGTAAGAGAAACGGAGAAAGAAACGAGCAAAATATAGTTAATAGTATCGCAATTTTTAGATGTAACGTATATTGAACTGTACATCAGGCCCTTCAGTATGAATCAAATCTATTCTCGCCATTTGCGTTTATTGTTGCCTAGACCGCCCTAAAAATCCATCTAAACGTCCTCTATAATATATTTACGTCTCGCTTTCGAGCTGCTGACTAGTGAGCCGACAACAAACCTTAGCCACCGAGTTAATTAAGTGAAATGTCATTGCAGGCTAATGTTTTGTGACTTTAATGGGCTCTAGAGCTTCATAATAATTATAAGTTCAGTAAGAAAGAGTTGTATTTATGATTTTAGTATATATTTGAAGAGTTAACAGAACTGAAGCTAGCTGAAATTTTTATTCTAAATACAATCTATAAATAAATGTAGAAGATACAATGGCTGTCTTTTTTCAAACATAATAACGAATCTTTAAGTGTGTCTATTTAAGTAAGTTACTAAATATGTACTTTCTTAAAATAGACATGGTTGTCTCTTCATTTTAATTGGGCACAAATACATTGTCATGTCTGGCTTGTTTTCAATATCATAGGGATAATATAATGTGTATTAAAACTGATCATATTAGATTTTATTTAACTTTATTAAACAGCAATTTTCTGTGCATTTTTTCTGTGCACATTCTTCCAACTACACCCCCAGGGGCAGAAGGTCCGACTTTGCGTTTTGGAGATATAGTTTAATTAATTAATGCATAATACCAGACAGTTTAATTTGCTAATGCTTTGACATATACAAAAGTTGACAACTTTTTGCCAGCATAGTCTGCTTTGTACAAAGTTTGTTGAAGATTAAATGAACTGCGTAAAAGGGGTTTGAACCCCACCCCCAATATAGCCCATGATTACTACAAAAGGAAAGGTTTTCTCTTGTGTTTTTGAAAAGTTTCACATACAGACATTTGTCAAAACAATCCCCTTCACACAGATCCACAGAAAATACTAAAAATGCTGTTATGCATGCCGGGCCAGTAGTTGGGGATGTAACTTTGTAAAGAATCTCACACATTCCTATAGACTAATGCACATGTTTTGATAGTTTCCACGAAAACCATAATGGTATTGTTTCCAAAAACTTGCCATTTTAAACCCTTTTCTGCAAAAGTTTGCATTTTCAGGCCCCCAAAACACTTGTCGTGTATATGAACTGGCAAAATGCATACCCTTTTTTTCTGTTTTAGCTGAAAATGGTGGCATGTAAATGCCCCCTCAGAGGAAAACAAATCTGAAGCTAGCCTGTACGATTCCAGAGATATGAACCGAAATGCAAATGGAATCTAGTTCTATAGTTTAGTGTCTCTACAACTTACGGTTTCTGAAGTACGGACACATTTAGGGCAGGAAAGAAGAAGACATTTGGAATTAGATGCTTGGACCCCTAAAGGGATAATGCATATGAATTTTACATATCCCCTTTTAGGAACCTTCTAGTGACCAGCAGGGGCAGCAGGAGGCCAACCAGAGGTACATCAAACAATAATAACAAACAAAAGTTTTCTGATGCATTAAATTAAAAGTTATTGGTCATTGAAAAGTATTATGTATTTCTGTTACCCAATGTTGATCATGCTCTTTAAATATTTAAAATATCTGTTTATGTAACAAAATGTAACACGTTTTATTAAAATTAAATTCAACACTAACTTACTGCTTTATGAAAGGCAACATTCATTCAAATGAAACATTTATTTAGAGGAATTCAGATCATTTGGGCCATTTTCACTCTATTACGTAATTTCACAAAATGTTTCTTTCATTGCTTAATTGTTGTCTAGACGGATTATGTCTGAACAGTTTTATTGTCATTGTACCTTTCACAGAGAGACGGAGATGAGAAACTCTATATTGGCTCAAGTCTTGGATCAGTCTGCCCGTGCCAGGTGTAAGTTCATTTACAAACCTTTGGCAAGCTATCACTAGTATTGTCATGTAAGCAGGGTTGGGACTAGAGGTCTGCATTCCCGTGGTTCTCCTTGCGGGAACCGTGGGACCCGACCAGATTTCTTACGAGTCTGGATTAAATTTCCGAATAAAACATGGTAGAGGTCGGTAACTCTGGTGTAATTTGAATGGGAGAAGGCGGTCTAACAATATCCCGTTCCCGACTTTCCTCATTGTTATTTTACAGCCTGCACTCAAATTTAGTTCTTTTGATTATAATTTTAAATGACAAATGTCATATTTATTTACTTATTTTCCTCTGTAATACTTCTCCTACTGTTGACAGCAAAATTTTAAACAAATTGTATCTTGATAAGACAAATAAAAATAAGAAATACATTTTTTGTTCAACCTACATTTTTTTTGTTTTCTCTGCGACACTTTTTTTCCTACTGTGTTGACAGCAAAATGTTAAACAAATTTTGTATCTTGACAAGACGAATAAAATAACATACAATATTTGTGCAGACCACATTTTTATTTGTTATCTCTTTTTCAGTAGTGGAAATTTAAATGTGAGATTCTGGACTGTCGGGTCAGGAAGAAAATTATTCTAAGTGGGCAGCGGATGAACAAAGAGTGAATATATAGTGGGAGCGGGAGGGTGCGGAATATAACCTAGCAGGAGTGAGACTAAAAAAACACTCTCACGCAGACCTCTAGTTGGGACGGTTACATTTAAAATGTCTTTCACTACAGATTACAAAATACATGTTTTAAAAGTAATTTGTTACAGATTTCGTTGACATTCGCCAAACATTGGACTTGATTTTCCTTTCGGTTAAACATTTGCTGATGCTCAAGAAGGCAACACAATGCATCTTAATGTTACTCATATTTCGTATTTTAAATATGTAACTATTACATGCATTCCGTTACTCCACAACCCTGCATGTATGCGTGCTTGTAGATATTGTATTCTTTATTCTTACCAGATATTTTATTCTGTGCTGTCATTCAAAACCCATAAGACTTTCGTCTTCATGAGAGCACCAGGGGCCTGATGTATAAACGTTGCGTATGCACAAAATGGGCATGGAAATGTGCGTTACTCAATTTATAAAAAATGAACTAGGCATAAATATGTGCGCACCGTACGGACACTCTAGACCATGCGTACGCACTCTTTTACTGGAGGGAGCAAAATAAGGAAGCAAACAGAATGATTTTAAAGTCTGTTTTACATTTGACATACACGTTTAGATTAAATATGACACTCTGAATAAGGAAGTTAAGCACTGAAATTATCATCCAGAAATTACAATTTTTATATGAATTTAAATGGAAATATTTGCAATGGATGTGCTGCTTTCGAACAATTTCCCTGTGGTGTGCGATTTCATGTTTTAATCACAGCGAGAATTGCTTGGCGCATGAGAATTCCGCTTTAAATTGTGTTCTAAATAGCAAAACTCATGTTCTGAGAAAATACTTTTGCACGAATAATAATGATCATTTTTGTGAACTTTGTTTGATAGCTTTGGAACATAGGCGGTAACGACAGACATAAGGATGCACTCATTGATCAAACAGTCCATTGGTCTGATGACAGTAGAACCTCTGTTCACAGGTGAATGTAACTGATTACTTTTCTAAATTTCTAATGAATGTTTATTTGCAACTGTTAATCATTTTCAAACATTTACACCATGCAGGGTTAACCTTACAGTAGTGCTCAACACTGTCAGACTTTCAAAATCCTTCATCACTTGAATTAAGATGATCAAATTTGAACACATCCAACACAAAATCAGACTTTAGTACCACCTTTTACTTTGAGATTAATCTGAAGTTCAATGCAGATTTAAAATCATAAGAAATAGTTAATAGATAAGAAATCTTTGCATAACTGCAGGAAACGCTGCATCTAACAATGGTTTGGAAAAAATAGTTATTTAAAAAATATTAATGAATAAAAGCATATACATCAACTCAAATACGGTTATCTAATAAGCATGTGTTCTATTCTGTGTACTAAACTCCTGAAACATTGGTGTCTTTTTGAAACATTGGTGTCTCTTTGTATATGATATGACGATAGTTTTCTCAAAATAAGTAAAATGCTCATGAAGTGACTCAGAACAGTTCTAGAGATTATGTTTGTGTGTTCATGTACTCCTATATACAGAGGCTGAAAACACAGCGAGCTTCAGTAGGCCTATGTGTAGTAAATGAAACCGCATGTCTGCACCATTAATTTCCACGAGGGGCAGACTGGGAAAAAAATTTCAGGCCGGGAAATCTCACACTCATACACCCACAACAAATTCTGAAACATGGACAACCCTATTTTTTTGTATGGACCTCACAGGAAAAAGGTTTAAATCCTTAGGTTGGGGACATGCAAAATAATTAAAAGTTCTCTCCTGAACTGCACCTTCACTTCCATTTTTCTTTTCAGTCTCTTTATTTTGCCCTGATATCTATCTCTCACATGACTTTAATACTCAAGATTTAACAAAACTATACTTTCTAAATTGCCTAGGCTACATGTCAAAATTAGTACAGCACTACAATATCTTTATAGAAAAATCCTAATACTGAACATGAGTCATTTTATTCCCTTACAAAAATTAACCATGCTTTTATTATAGTAAAAGTACAGTAACCATGTTTTTTTTGGCAAATGGATTACCATTTGTATTTATTTTTAATACAAATTCCATGGTTAAACTATGGTTAGTGTAGCAAAAACCATGGTTAATTTGTGGTTACCATGGTTTAACAATAGTAACCATTGTCTTTGGATTTATAGTAAAATCATTGTTCATTTTCATAAGGGTTGTGTTGTTGTCTGCCCTAGCTCCCCCTAAACCTATTATAAAATATGATTAAATATGAATTTGCTAAATTGCTACTGTAACATTACAATAGATAATAATGATGTCCTTTATACAGTATTTTGAGTGATGACTGATGAGCAATGGACTGCTGCTGCTTAACTAAGTAAACAAAGAAAAAACTACAATCGCATATTTACAGATGAAACTGACCTGCACTTGAAACCCTGAACAGTAGTTTTGCTTCTCTGCTCCACTTGTGCGCTTCCACAGTCCACTCCATTCTCTCTCTCTCGCATTGATTACTACTCTGATCCAAACCGTATGGCGGAGAGTGCGCGAGCCGAAGCATTGCCAGTCACGACTAACCGATTCATGATTTATTATAGATTTAATTATCGAATAGCGAATTCGGAAATAATCTCTTTAGTACATTCGGCAGGCAATTATACAATAATAATATTAAAATAGCGGGCCAAATCACCAAGAATTGTCCCGGTTCTCCTGATGGCCAGTCCGTGCCTGATTTCCACAGACATGCAGAACGTGCAGGATTCATATGTTGTCTTTTCGCGGCTTAATATTCACAGACACTAGTCCATATCGCGTTTTGATTCAAGTGCACTGACCTACTTTTTATTTATTCGTCCAAAATGTGGCATGTTCCGTCCGCGTTAGGCAATAGGAATTCCGTTTTTATGACTGGATTCTACGAACCAGTCTGTGTTTTCTGCATCGCATTATTCCGCATTATGTCTGAGTAATCAGTGCAATTTGGGAAATAAATCAATTAAATCTGTATGTGGATGTGTGTAAATATTCAAATGTAATCCCCTTTGTAATAGTTAACATTTTCATAAGTAACTGTAATTTAATTACACATTTTTTCTTAGTAACTGTAACTGATTACAGTTACATTTATTTTGTAATTAAATTACGTAAAGCCGTTACATGTAACTAGTTACTCCCCAACACTGATGATAACCCCTTTCGTGCTCCTCCCAATATTGTGACAAACACCATATTTAAAACATAGAATTTGAAGGAAACTGTAAGATATGCGCGTTTTATTTTCAAAATGTTTTATTGACGCGGTCAGTCAGACAGCTAGCTATTTACACTGCAAAAAAATAAGGCCCATCTCTTTCCATAAAAATATAGGCTATAAACATTCTAAAATATATGTTTACCTTTTAGGCAAATTGAATAAATTAGAATAGTGATGTCTCAAAACGCATTTATAGTCCGTATCTCATATTTTCCTAACGTAGCCTATTCCTACCCTTAACTGCGTTAAACATGTTGTCATGTGGATGAAATATGTATGGAAATGATAAGCTGATGACGTTATGCATATTAAAACTAGCGTTGTAAGCTCCATAAATGGCTATTTCGGGGAGGAGACGGGGTGGAGATTCATGTATGCACAATCTTCCGCTGACTGGGTATTACAAAGGGAATTTTGCGCAGGTTCTGGCGTACGCATGGCTTTATAAATCTGAAAACTTTTGTACATACGCAAAATCTAGCTTTTGTGCGTACGCACACATTTAGGATGAAATCTACGTAAAATTTTATACATGAGGCCCCTGGAGATTTGGTTTGGTGCTCACACTGCACATTGTGTGACCCGTTAAATATAACTATTCAAAGTAAATTGCACTTTATTTAGTTTTTTAACAAAATAATAAAACAATAAAGTATGATAATGCTATTATATTTTTAATTAAAAATTGAGTATTAAATAAAATTACAATTATTTTAGTTTATAATTAAGTTAATATTTACATTTAATTTTTTTAATTTTGATCTTTTATATGAATTTTCATAATTTTAAAACCTAGAGTGAAGCATGAATGAAGTGTATGAACGGTCTGAAATTTTTTACCCAGCACATTTATTATTTTGGTCGCACATGCACACCACTTACAGTGCTGTGAAAAAGGTTTTGCCCCCTACCTGTTTTTTGTTTTGGTTTTTTTGCATATTTGTCACACTTGAATGATTCAGATCATCAAACAAATTTTTATATTACACAAAGATAACCCGAGTAAATACAAAATGCAGTTTTGAAATAATGATTTCATTTGTTAATGGAAAAAAGCTGTCCAAACCTGCCTGGCACTACGTGAAAAAGTAATTGCCCCCTAAATCTAATAACTGGTTGTGCCACCCTTTGCAGCAACAACTGCAATCAACCATTTGCGATAACTGGCAATGAGTCTTTCACATCGCTGTGGAGGAATTTTGGCCCACTCTTCTTTGCAGAATTGTTCAATTCAGCCACATTGAAGGGTTTTCAAGCATGAATGTACAGTTTAAGGTCATGCCACAGCATCTCAAATGGATTGAAGTCCGAACTTTGACTTGGCCACTCCAAAACCTTAATTTAGTTTTTCTTGAGCCATTCAAAGATGGACTTGCTGGTGTGTTTGGGATCATTGTCCTGCTGCATAACCCAAGTGTGCTTGAGCTTGAGGTCACAAACTGACGGCCGGACATTCTCCTTCAGGATTTTCTGATAGAGTGCAGAATTCATGGTTCCGTCAATTATGGCAAGTCATCCAGGTCCTGAAGCTGCAAAGCAGCCCCAGACCATCACACTACCCCCACAATGTTTGACTGTTGGTATGATGTTCTTTTTATGAAATGCTGTGTTGGTTTTACGCCACATGTAACGGGACACACACCTTCCAAAAAGTTCAACGTTTGTCTCATCAGTCCACAGAATATTTGCCCAAAAGTCTTAGGGATAATCAAGATATGTTTTGGCAAATGTGAGAGGAGCCTTTGTGTTCTTTTTGGTCAGCAGTGGCTTTTGCCTCAGAACTCTCCCATCGATGCTGTTTTTGCCCAGTCTCATTCTTATTGTTGAATCATGAACACTGACCTTAATTGAGGCAAGTGAGGCCTGCAGTTCTTTAGATGTTGTTCTGGGTTCTTTTATGACCTCTTGGATGAGTCGTCGTTGTGCTCTTGGAGTAATTTTGGTTGGCCGGCAACTCCTGGGAAG